TGTGATGCTGTGTTGACCTATAGACGTAGCTGGTTAAGCTTAGGTGATCATTGTAAATAGTTATTCAACCTTTCACCTGAAACAGTTGAGCAACTATTAAGGAGAATCATCTAAGTAGCTTATTTTATTAGGAGTTTCATAATGATACTGTTTTAATTCTATCCAAACTTAATGTATAGAATTGTTCTGTGTGAAACTTTCTTTTTTTTTTTTTATTAGTGAAGCACCATGAGGTACAGTTGTAGATTTACAAATCCTTGTGCCTGAGTTTCGGTCATACAATGATCAAATACCCATCCCTCCACCAGTGCCCATTTCCCCCCACCCCCCCTCCCACCCTGCCTCTGTGGCAGGGCATTCCCCTTTGTTCTCTCTCTCCTTTTGGGTGTTGTGGTCTGCAAAAGAGGCATTGAGTGGCAATCATGTTCAGTCCATAGTCTACTTTCAACATGCATTTCCCCTCCTGGGAGGATCCTCCAAACACCTTTCATTTGGTGTTCCCTTCTCTATCTGAACTGCCCTTTCCCCTAGAATATCCGGCTGGCCTCTAAGTTATGGAGTAATCCTCCTGGTGTTGATCTCAGCTATTCTTAGGTATTGATCTCATATTTTGTTGCTTTATATCCCCCAGATGAATGCAATTTTTCTATGTCTATCCCTCTCTTTCTGACTCATTTCGCTTAGCATGATATTTTCCATATTGTACCACTTGTATGTAAATTTCATGACTTCATCTTTTCTAAGAGCTACATAGTACTCCACTGTGTAGATGTACCAGAGTTTCTTTAACCAGTCATCTGTTCTTGGGCACTCAGGTTTCTTCCAGTTTCTGGCTATTGTAAAGAGTGCTGCAATGAACAAACAAGTGCAGATGTCACTTCGACTACACATTTTTGCCTCTCTCGGGTATATTCCCAGGAGTGGTATCGCTGGGTCAAATGGGAGCTCAATTTCTAATTTTTTGAGAAACGTCCATACTGTTTTCCAAAAGGGCTGAACTAGTCGACATTCCCACCAACAGTGAAGGAGTGTCCCTTTCTCGCCACATCCACGCCAGCATCGGTTGCTTTTGTTCTTTTGAATGTGGGCCAGTCTCTGAGGTGTGAGATGGTATCTCATTGTGGTTTTGATCTGCATCTCCGTGATGATTAATAATGTAGAGCATTTTCTCATGTGCTTTTTTGCCATTCGGATTTCTTCTTTGAGAAAGTTTCTGTTCATTTCATTGCCCCATTTTTTGATGGGGTTGGATGTTTTCTTCTTGTGGAGTTCCACCAGTATTTTGTATATCCTTGTTATCAACCCCTTGTCAGATGTGTATTCGGTGAATATCCTTTCCCATTCTGTAGACTGTCTTTGTATTTTGGTCACTGTTTCTTTGGAGGTGCAGAAGCTTCTTAGTTTAAGATAGTCCCATTTATCTATCTCTGTTTTTACTTGCTCGGCCAGTGGTGTGGCATCTTTGAAAGTACCATTAGCCTCAATGTCATGGAGGGTTTTGCCAACTTTGTCTTCAATGTACCTTATGGTGTCTGGTCTGATGTTGAGGTCTTTAATCCATTTTGATCTTATTTTTGTACATGGTGTTAGGCAGAGTTCTGAGCCCATTTTTTTTGCATGTGGCCGTCCAGTGATGCCAGCACAATTTGTTAAAGAGGCTTTCCTTACTCCACTGAAACTTTCTTAATTTATTAGGTGATCTTGCAATAGAGATCTTACCAGAAAAAAATCTTAATTACTTTAATTCTTCTTTTGGCTTTTTTTGGGTCACACCCAGAGGTTTCTCCTGATGGTGCTCAGGGAACCACATGGGATGCCAGGGATTAAACCCAGGTTGGCCGTGTGCAAGGCAAACGCTCTCCTTGCAGTACTATGGCTCCAGCCCTAATTACCTTAACTTAAAGTAGAAAAAATCAGGGATCAAAAAGATAGCACAGCAGGTAAGACACTTGCCTTGCATGCATCTGACCTGGGTTCATTCTCCAGCATCACCAGGAGTGAACCCTGAGCACAGCTGGGTGTGAATCAAAAACAAAAACAGTTAAAAAAAAAAAGTAGAAAAACCCATCCTTACTCTGTGATCAAATTTTTTTTCTCAGAACTCTGAGTGGGCAGCACATGTCTGACATCCTGGGTTTATCCCTGACACCAGAAACAAAAACAAAAATCATTTTACCCGTAGTCTTCTCATTGATGTTATGCAGACTTAAAATACAGAGGTATTTGCTATTCTCCAAACTTGTTTATTTTCGTATCATCTTTTCTTTCCTTTTTTTTTGTTTTTTTAGGGGTGGGGAATTGCATCCATCACCCATAATCCTATATTACATTTCTTTTCCATATGTAATAAACATTTTCCTTGTGCTCCTAAGTTTTGTTCCCCAAAAAGGGATCTTTTTAAGACCTCTGAATCTATGTCTTCTCTCTTTTTGTGGGAGTGGAGGATTGTCATCTCCAGTTGTGTTTGGGAACCTGGAGGCCACTCACAATGAAAATCAGCCCAAAGGTGCAAGTCCGAGTTGGAGCCACCAGGGACACATTTGGGGGTGTTGGGACAGAAAGCATTTGGGTCTCACACATGCAAGGCTTATACCGCAGTCCTTTGCACTGTTGCTTTTATTTTAGTTTAGTTTGGGGGAGTGGGGGAGGTTACATCCAGCTGTGCTTAAGTTTCACCCTAATTCTATGCTCAGGGATCATTCCTGATGTTGCTTGGGGGCCATGGGGAATCAATTGAGCCTTACACTCTGTCCTATCTCTCTGACTTCATCTTTTTATAAAACTTAGGTCTTGTCTTCTGTGTCTTTTAAATTGTTGTATTAGGGGGCTGGTGCCATAGCACAGCGGATCGGGCATTTGCCTTGCATGTGGCTGATCTGGGCTTGATTCCCAGCATCCCTTATGGTCCCCCAAGCACTTCCAGGAGTAATTCCTGAGTGCATGAGCCAGGAGTAACCCCTGTGCATTGCCGGGTGTGACCCAAAAAGAAAAAAAAACTGTTATAAATAAATGAATAAATTGTTATATTAAGGGATGGGAGCTATAGTACAGCTTCTAGGGTCTTGCCTGGGCACCCCCTTTGGTTCCCTCAACTTGCCAGTTGTGAACCCTGAGCGCAGAGCCAGGAGTAAGCCCTGAATGACACCCGGGTATGGCCCAAAAACCAAAAATTTAAAAAAATAGGTTAGATAAATAATTCATTTCTGTGTAGCATCAAAGCTGGTCCCAAAATCCTCAGAAATTATATTACAGGTTGTTTACTCAGTTACCATAAGACTAAAAAGTCCATTTCAATCTTTATTTTTGAGAAAATTCATTGACAAATGGCAGAAGCCTTTGACTTGGTTTCTTTCTGCCACAAAATATGTGAAAAAGTATATTCGTATGTGCTTTATAAAATATCTTTTTTCAGGGGAGTCATTCCCAGCAGTGCCCAGAGGTCACCAGGGCTGTATGTGGCAGTGTTCAGGGGCCTCTGCTGTTAGTTCTGGAACCTGAACTTGGAATCTTGCACATGTGGTGTGTTCTGTCACCTGAACCTCAGCCCCAGCCCAGAATTCCTCCCTGCTCCCTTTCTCCCTCCCTTTCTCCTTTCCTCCCTTTCTTTCATTTTCTTTCTTCCTTTATCCTCTCTCTTTCCACCCCTCCCTTTCCTCTTCCCTTTACCAGTTGTGCTCAGGGTCTAGGCCAGGGACTGTGTAGGGGGGTTGTTCTGACAGTTCTCAGGGGTCCATCTAGTGCTAGAATCACCCCAACATTTCCTGCATGCAAAATCCCGGGCTCCATTGCACTGAAATATCTCTCTGTACCTAAACTAATTCCTGTATTAGATGAGAAGAAGGGATCTCCTGACATTGAGGGAGGGATATTGGCATCTTGGTGGTGGGTGAGGTGCTCTAACATTATCCACCTAAAGCAGAGGTTCAAACTTATTTTCCTTCTCAGGGAAAGAATCAGTGTCCTCTTGGAAATCTACTTTAAGGGAACAAATAAAGAGTACCCCAATTGCACCAAAACCTGCTACCACATTTTGTGGGTCATTCAGGCATCTACCAGGGTTAGTATCACTCTAACTTCACCCCAATTTTTTTAATAAGTAAATTTTTAAAAATAAAACAAAAAGTGGAGTTAGGTTCAGAAAGATAGTACAACAGATGGAGACTTTGATCCTTGGTACCACATATGGTTCCCTGAGCGCCGCTAGGAGTAATGCCCAAGTACTGTTGGGTGTGGCCCAGAAACAAAAGTTAAAAAAACTAAAGAGTTGAATGCTTATTATAGATCCTAAAAGCTGAGGATAATGGTTTTCACTATAAATTGTTTTTTAATTTTTTGTATGGTTGAAAAGTTTTAAAGATAGACTTATCTTTTATTAGTGAAATATATGTAGCATATACACCGTGATTTTCAGTGATATACATTTGAAATATGTTATAATTGCAATGTTATGTTAATTTTTTAAAAAATATCCAGAGAGAGTATTGTGGGTAAGGTGCTTGTCTTGCGTGTGGTCAGCTCGGGTTTGATCCCTGGCACCCCATATTGTTCCCTGAGTCCCTCTAGGAGTTATTCCTGGAATCAGAGCCAGGAGTAAGCCCTGAGCGCTGTCACATGTAGCCCAAAAACATAAAAAAGAAAAATATATACCCAGTAAAAATTATTTCAAGAGTTAGAGATATGTTTAAAGAAAAGGTCATAATAAAATGTTAAGAAATTGGTGTGTTTTTTTTTGTCCAGACCATTATTTGAGAAATCAATTTAAGTTTTACCCCCACCCCACCCCTGTATGTGAGATATTACTCTTCTCTTGACACTGTAAGGATCTTTATCTTGATTACTGTCATTTTGATCAAAAAGAAAGAAAGAAAGAAATTAATTGATGTGGCTGAGGTTTTAAAAGAGGAAGTACTTAAAAAAAAACTATGTTCTATATTCCTAAATATAGTCTCTTCCTCTCCCAAAGCAAATTATTCACATTGAACAGGAATGTGCCCTTACAGGGATCAGTATCCTTCAGGGATGTGACTGTAGATTTCAGCAGAGAGGAGTGGCAGCATCTAGACCTTGCTCAGAAAAACTTGTACCGGGATGTGATGCTGGAGACCTACAGCCACCTGCTCTCAGTCGGTAAGTGCACTCACCTGCTTAGCTGAGAGGACGCCTGCTGAGAGCGTCTCTTTCTAGTTACTAAGTGTGCCGAGTGTCTCAAATATGGTAGCTTTGTCCTTCATTTTTTTAGGTACTTTTTTCCTTCGGGGCACTCTGAGTATTACCATTCCCAGAGATACAGTAAGTCCTTGCTAATACACTCAAGTTCTTGGAAATTATGACTTTCAGCAAAACAGGACAGCAGGGCAGCAGGATTTTCAAAGTGCTGTTTTGTTCAGCAGTGGCCAGAATGCTTTTGCTCATTGATGTTATAACAGGACTGTTAATCAAGGACCTGCTGTGTACATTTACTTCCTTGGAAAACAAAGACTTTACTGATCAAGCTCTGAAGCAGAATTTGCTTGACCCAGTCTTTTATTCTTTCTCATGGACAGGGTATCAAGTTCCCAAGCCAGAGGATTTCTTGTTGGAGCAAGGAAAGGAGCCCTGGACAGTGCAATGTGAGAGCCCAGGTCAGGGCTGCCCAGGTGAGTGTGAACCATATGGGAGGGGGGACTGGAGTGATAGTACAGTGGCTAGAGCATTTGCCTTGCACACAATTGACCGGGTTTGATTTCCAGCACCCGCTATGGTCCCCCAAACCTGCTGAGACAGACTCCTGAGTACAAAGCCAGAACTAAATCCTGAGCACTGGCAGGTGTGACTCCCCCAAAATAAAACAAAACAGATGGAAGATGGGAATAATTTTCAGCTATTATGGCAAAGTAGGACATCTGTGAAATGCTATTAAGATGACACTTCTGAATGGTTCTAAATTTTTGCATTGCTGAAAGACCTTTGACGTTGCCTTCTCAATAACTGCATGTGTTCTACATAATTGTTTTTGTTGATTCTGTCTCCTTCCTTGACTTTTAGACTGTATTATGTGCATTATGCCTCACTGAATATTTCTTTTCATCCTTGGTTAGGCTTTTTCTCTAGCATTCCTTTTCTTCCTCATTGTCCAGTTTTTTGGATTTTTTTTTGGCTTTTTGGGTCACACCCAGTGATGCTCAGAAGTTACTCCTGGCTCTGCACCCAGGAATCACTCCTGGCGGTGCTTGGGGAACTATATGGGGTGCCAGAGATCGAACCTGGGTTGGCTGCATGCAAGGCAAGCACCCTACCTGCTGTGCTAATGCTCTGGCCCATTGTCCAGTTTTTTTTTAAAAAATGTATTTAGCACTTATAAATTCCCTTTCAAAATTAGTCACACTCTTCCATAACTGCTCATCCTCTTTCTATTTTTTGTGGAGGTTTATTTTTTGAGCCACAACTGGCTGTGCTCAGGGCTTACTTCTGGCTCTACACACAGGGATCACTCCTGGCTGGATTCAGGCACCATATAAGGTTCCAGAAATCAAACCTGGGTTGGCCACGTTAAAGCAAGCTACTTATCTGCTGTACTGTCGCTCTGGCCCCTCTCCAATTTCTAATTTTTTTTCCTTTTGTTTCTTTTGTGTGTGTGTGTGTGTGTGTGTGTGTGTGTGTGTGTGTGTTGGGGGGGGCATTCTGGGCAGTGCTTAGGGCTTACTTCTGGCTCTGTGCTCAGAGATCATTTCTGAAGGTGCTTGGGGTGAAGAGAGCAAACCTGGGTTGGCTGTGTGCAGTGCAAATCCCCTACTTGCTGTGCTATTGCTTTGGCCCCTGTTCTGTATCAGAATTTTATCTTTAAGCAGATTCTCTTCCAGTTTTGTCTGTAGGCACCAACGTGATATCTCTAGCTTTCCTCTAGGCTTTTCCTCCAAATGATGGTTTATGGCTCACTGTCCTTTATACTTTAGAAATAGTTTTATAATATTTCCTTCTGCTGTTGTTTGAGAGACTTTACAATAACTGTGATCTCTGTCTAGTTGACTGATTTTTGTAATTGCTTTTCTAACATACTATTTTGAGTTTAATCATGATCCTTATTCAGGACACTGTAATCATAAATCTGGAGAATTTTAATTTTTTAACTTACTCCCTTTCTTTTCCCCACGCCCATTTATATATCCTCCGTGGTTTATAAAACTCAGTGTTTCATAACAAAGAGTTCCATGTGCCGTGCCAGGGATTGAGCCCTGTACATGCAAAACAGGTGCTCTACCACTGAACTAAATCTTTGGCCCAGATACATTTTAAATTTAAATAGAAAAATAAATAAATAAATAAAAATTTAAATATAATTGACAAATAATACTATATTAGCTTTAAGTGTATGTTTTAATAATTTTGTGATAGTATTTATTGTAAAATGATCAAAGTAAGTCTGGTTAACATCCCATTGCTACACATAGTTCCAAAAGAAACATGTTTAATTAATTTTAATTAGTTATTTTGTGGGGGTCCACACCCAATAGCTCTCAGACTCTGTGCTCAGGCATTACTCCAGGCAGTGTTCAGTGGACCACATAGGTGCCAAGGATCAAACCCAGGTCAAACATGTGCAAGGCAAGCACCCTACCCACTGTGCTATCACTTTGGCTCCAAAAAACATTTTTTAATTCAATCTACTTTCTTTTAAAATGTTATGACTTGGAGAGGTGAGAGAGATATTAACAGTAGAGTATTTACCTTGCATGTATTAGGCCTGGGTTTTTAATTTGTGACACCAGTGAGCTGCAGGAGGACTTAGCAACATTAGTATCATTAGTCTATGTATGTGTTAATTGTGTTAAATTTTTTTGCCTTATTCTATTTTTGTAGACTAACTAGAATATGACCTAGCTTATCATCAAATGATTTCCCTTCACCCTTTTCTCTGTGTTCTACTTGAATGAGTCATAAGATTTTCCTTTCTTAACTCAGCTAAATGCTCTTTCCCCAACCCTATCCTCGCTTTTTTTTTGCCATACCGAATATGTAGTTCAGGGCTTATTCCCTGGCTCTGCACTCAGGAATCAACCCTGAATGTGTGCAGGGGACCATATGGAGTGCTGGGGATCAAACCTTAGTGTCCTGCCTGCTGTCCTCTATCTCTCTCTCTCTCTGGCCCCTAGCTAACTACTCTTTAAGCTAAAATCTCCTTATTTTCCTTTGAGAAAGGGACTGGTTTTCACATCTCATGGCAGAGAATTTCTAAAATAGCTGTTTCCTACAGGGGTGATGTAACAAAGTGATGCTAATGGTGATGTTTTGTTGCATTTCATTCTAGAAGTATGGCACATCAGTGACCAGATAAGAAGTTACCAACAAAGAGAAAACAAATATTTAAGAAATGTTTCTTTCTTCAAGAAAATGTTGACTACCAAGAGGGATTATGATAAGGACATTAGAAAAACAATGCATCTGAGTCCAGATTTTCCTTACTCAAAAAGACCCCACCAATGTGATTCATTTGATAATGCTTTGAAGTATAATTTAGACTTGAACAGCCATAATAGGAATAATGCATCAAAGAACTTGAGTAAGATTACTGAATACAGTAAAATTCTTTCTCCCATTGACTGTGAACATAATTCAACAGGATATAATGTATGGGACCTTAGTCAATGTGGAAAATTCTTTAGCTGTGAACAGGCGCCCTCTCAACATCACAACATTAATACTGGGAGAAAAGCTTTTGAATGTGTAGAATTTGGAAAGATCTTTGCCCAGAAGTCACAAATCAAAGTACATCTGAAAGTTCATACAGGAGAAAGACTGTATGTCTGTATTGACTGTGGAAAGGCTTTTGTGCAGAAGTCAGAGTTTATTACACATCAAAGAACCCACACTAGGGAGAAACCTTACAAGTGCAGTGAATGTGGAAAAGCCTTTTTCCAAGTATCTTCTCTCTTCAGGCATCAGAGAATTCATACAGGAGAAAAACTGTATGAATGTAGCGAATGTGGAAAAGGTTTCTCTTATAACTCAGATCTCAGTATACATCAGAAAATTCATACTGGAGAAAGACACCACGAATGCAGTGATTGTGGCAAAGCATTCACACAAAAGTCCACACTCAAGATGCATCAGAAAATTCATACAGGTGAAAGATCCTATATTTGTATTGAATGTGGTCAGGCCTTCATCCAGAAAACACACTTGATTGCACACCGAAGAATTCACACAGGAGAAAGACCATATGCATGTAATAATTGTGGGAAATCCTTCATCTCCAAGTCTCAACTCCAGGTCCATCAACGAATTCACACAAGAACAAAACCTTTTATAAGTACTGAATTTGGGAAGACCTTCAATAATAACTCCAACCTCTTTACTCATAAAAAAGCTCAAATGAGAGAGAAATCTTCCATATGTACTGAATGTGGTAAGGCCTTTACCTACAGGTCAGAGTTGGTTATACATCAAAGAATTCACACTGGGGAAAAACCATATGGATGTAACGATTGTGGAAAAGCCTTCACTCAGAAGTCAGCACTCACTGTGCATAAGAGGATTCATACAGGAGAAAAATCATATGTATGTATGAAATGTGGGCTAGCCTTCATCCAGAAGGCACACTTGATTGCACATCAGATCATTCATACAGGAGAAAAACCTTATAAATGTGGACACTGTGGGAAATCCTTTACTTCCAAGTCACAACTCCATGTTCATAAACGAATTCACACAGGAGAGAAACCTTACATGTGTACTAAATGTGGGAAGGCTTTCACTAACAGGTCAAATCTTATTACACATCAGAAAACTCACACCGGAGAAAAATCTTACATATGTGCTAAATGTGGAAAGGCCTTCACTCAAAGGTCAGACTTGATTACACATCAGAGAATTCATACCGGAGAGAAACCTTTTGAATGTAATACCTGTGGGAAAGCCTTCACACAAAAGTCACACCTCAATATACACCAGAAAATTCACACTGGAGAAAGACAGTATGCATGTCATGAATGTGGAAAAGCCTTCAACCAGAAATCAATACTCATTGTGCATCAGAAAATTCATACAGGAGAGAAACCCTATGTGTGCACTGAGTGTGGAAGGGCCTTTATCCGGAAGTCAAACTTCATTACTCATCAGAGGATTCATACTGGAGAGAAACCTTATGAATGTGGTAATTGTGGGAAATCCTTCACCTCGAAATCTCAGCTCTTGGTGCACCAACCAATTCACACAGGAGAAAAACCTTATGTGTGTGCTGTGTGTGGTAAAGCCTTTAGTGGCAGATCAAACCTCAGTAAGCATCAGAAAACGCATACTGGAGAGAAGCCCTACATCTGTTCTGAATGTGGAAAGACCTTCAGGCAGAAGTCAGAGTTAATCATACATCATAGAATTCACACTGGTGAGAAACCTTATGAATGCAGCGATTGTGGAAAATCTTTCACTAAGAAATCACAACTTCAAGTGCATCAGAGAATTCACACAGGAGAAAAGCCTTATGTGTGTGCTGAGTGCGGGAAGGCCTTCACTGATAGGTCAAATTTGAATAAACACCAGACAACACACACTGGAGACAAACCCTACAAATGTGTGGTGTGTGGGAAAGGCTTTGTTCAGAAATCAGTGCTGAATGTTCATCAGAGTATTCACACCTGAGAGAAAGATGAGAAAACTCAAACTGGAGTGGTTGTACATTCTTTAATTCATGACGAAAAATAATGACCTATTGTCATATAAGAAATCCCCAACAGAATGTCACATATTAGAGATGAGGACCTCTAAGAAGGTCCTGATTGATAGGGACCCTCACATGTTGCCACCAGCCTGATTAAGCCAGGGGCATATTTATTGAGAAAGAACATTGAAATTTTGATGTATTAGAAGCCTGTTAGTGGAAAATAGTGATGTAGCACTGAATCCTGCAGAGATGAGATTCTGTTCAATGGTCTTGTCAGTGATAATCCCTGTTTTCTGTGAAATAACTAATGTACCAACAAATTGAGTAGTAGTATTATATATTTAGAGACAGATCCTCAATTCAGATGTTTGTTGCAGAACTGCACTGTAGCACTGTACTGTCCTCGAAATTGTTCATCGATTTGCTCGAGCAGGCCCAGTAACGTCTCCATCATGAGACTCGTTGTTACTGTATTTGGCATATTGAATTCGTCACGGGTAGCTTGCCAGGCTTTGCCGTTCAGGCGAGATACTCTCAGTAGCTTGCCGGGCTCTCTGAGAGGGGCGGAGGAATTGAATCCGGCTCGGCTGGGCCAGCTGCGTGCAAGGCAAATGCCCTACCACTGTATTGTTTAATAGAGTTTGGAATGTTTTTTCATTCTTGTATTGAATCTATCATCTGTCATGTCTGTCTGCATCACCCTATTATTTCTATGAAAAGAGAAACTACAGTTTTGAAAGTGTATTGTAAACATATAAACCTAAGTGTATGTGGACATCTAATTATTCTCTATCATCAAGACTTGTAACACCCCTATTAGAAACCAGTAGAGTCGAACTCTCATGAGTCCTTTGCATAGTCCTCCCTTAGGTCAGTGACTGCACCAGTCATTGCTATAAAACTGTCCCTTAGTACCAAATATCCTATCAGCTGACCTCCATTATCTCTCAGTGGTATTTAATGGTCCTCTTTAGCACCAGAGTCTTGTAACCTAAATCTTCAGGAAAACCAAGGTAAGACATTTCAGATCCCTTGGTTAGTTCTTCATCCCAGTCTGTCTTTTGCTAACATCGTTTAGTTCATTTGCCATAATAACCTGACATTCACAGTAACACTAGCTACCTGTTCATTTAAAAAAAAAAATTTTGCCACCCAGTGATGCTCGGGCTCTGTACTTAATAATGAATCCTGGCAGTGCTCTGGGGACCATATGGGATGCTGGGGAGTGAACCTGACTCAGCTGCGTGCAAGGCAAACACCTGCTGTACTATTGTTCTGGTCCCAACAAAATCTTTTAAACAAAACCCAAATTTCCGTCTATATTCATTATCTGCTATGAACATCTTCATGATTTTACATTCATCCCACAAAGATCTTCACGCCCACAATGCAAACACATAAACTCAGGCCCTCAGGAACTTCATATTCACAGTGGCCCTTTCAAAGAGAAGTTTCTTACATCTGTAGATAATTTCTGTTTTCCAGTGGCACTTAGCAGAAGCTTTCCTATCCTAGTTTAAAGCCTCCCCCCCCACACACACACAAGCTACCTTTATTCTCCCAGCACTTCAACGTAGTGCCCTGTACAAGCTATCTTTGGATTCTGGATTCAACAGTAGAATCCAAAGGTAGCTTGTACAGCTGTGAGCCTAGACTCATCTGACCTAGACATTGTATAAAAAATGATTCTGCATTCCACAGAGTCATTGTGGAGTGTTGGGCCTCATTCCATAAAATTAAGGCTAATTATTTAAATATTCTTTTGTTTTTGAGCCACACTCAGTGATGCTCAGGGGTTACTTGCAGCTCTGCACTCAAAAATTATTCCCAGTATTGCTCAGGAGGCCATATGGGATGCTGGGGATCTAACCCGGGTTGGCTTTGTGCAGGGCAAGCACCCTAACCACTGTACTATCACTTTGGCACTAATAGTTTAAATATTTTGCTGCTCTGTTTAAAGAAGGCAAAACTGAGATAGAAGACCACATAGAACCTTGGTGTTTTGGTACTCCAACCGTGATCCCTGAATACTTAGTTCCAAAGCAACTGCATAAGGGAGCCAGACATAGTACAATGGGCATGGTCCTTGCCTTGCACAAGGCTGACCCAGGTTCCATCCCCAGCACCCTATATGGGCTCCCAACTCCTGCCAGGAGTGATCTGTGAGTACAGAGCCAGATGTGGCCCCAAAGCAACAAAAGTGACTTCAAAACATCCTGATCACTCTACCCATTATTCAGCCCTGCTCCACCCCCAATTAGGAGCCCACCTCAGTACCTGACTTCTAGAACCTTACAGTACTTTGATATATTTCCAAAAGTAAGAGTATGGAGGGATGGAAAGTAGACCACTTGGACTTTTCTACAGGTTGGATATTTTAAGAAGTGACGTGTCTGACCCTAATGGACAGCAACATCTTCAGATATGGGGAGGAAGGTCTGACTGCTCAGTCTTCAGGCCACAAATGTAACCAGAATGTGTCTTCCAGGTTGGTTCACTGAGAATTTGGGATGGGGATATAGTTGTGCAGGGATGCTCTTTTAACTGCAACATGGGGGAGGTCAAAAGGAGGCAGTGCTGGCGGAAGGGGCAGGACTGCAGATTCCCCTTTAACTCTTTGACCCCAATAGGGCAGTATTTATCCAACTTCTTCACCTTGGATCAATATCTGATCCATCATTTACTCATTTATCTCCAATCTTCAGAGTAACTCCTTCCCAACCCTAAGTCCTTCCCCACCTACAGTCTCTGATGACTCGCCCTCTTTTACTCCTTCCTGCACCATATCTGGGCCTTAATGCAACATCTGACCCACCATTGTCCTTCCATTTTAGGACGTTGCACACATCAGGAGGGTGCCTAGATATCTTTTCATTGTGCCCCTTTTATGTGGGGCAGGGAAGGGCACACTGGTGATGCTCCTGACACTGCATTCAAGACTCACTCCTACGGGTCTCTGGACCATACATGGTGCCTGCAATCAATCCCTGTTGAGCACATGCAAGGCAACTGCTCTACCTGCTGTACTCCAGCATGGTGTCTGCATACTCTTCATTACCTCCCCCTTTCACCTTACAATAGTACTGTTTATCATCTGTCTTTAACTCTAGGAAATAGTGATCCATCACCACTCCCACAGTTTCTTATATTCCCCCGTTCCACTTTCATTAATGTGGTGACTGGTGACCTTTCAGTACAATCTTCAGATTAATAAATAAATTGACACCTCCTACTCTTTTTTTTCTAGTCCAACCATTCATCTTATATCCTGATACCTTCATTATGCCCCTGGCTAGATGGGTCATGAGGCATCTTTCATTATTGTTCATCATGACAGACAGTAAGTATTTCCCACCTAGCAGTGTCTGTAACCATCCTCAACAGAGCCTCTGGTGATTTCCCCAATACTCTCTAAATGTTGGTATGCTTTTAATCTACCACAAGGAAAGTGACTGATAATGTATCATAAACTGTATGTTACCTATCTACATTTTGGAGTTCACGTCTCACCTCCCTGTAGGGCCTCCCCCATCTCGCTCCCCAGTTAATAATCAGTACAATACAATATGTCTTGACAGCAATTACCCAGTCACGGTATCTGACCCCCTTCATTAAGTTTGTATAGTGGGGAAGGAGCTTGCCTTGCATTTGGCCAGCCTATACCACCTATGGTCCTTCAAACACCTCCAGGATTGACCCCTGAGCACAGAGCCAGGAGTAAGCCCTGAGCACCACTGAGTATGGCCAAAAACCCAAGAAAAAATCCTGATAGTATCTGCTGTTTCTCTCATGACTCTCACTAACAAAACCTCTGATTTCTGCAATGCCTACATCACTTCACAACACAATATGATATTCATGCTTTTTTGAATATGATATTTTGGTTTGAGGGTTACACCTGACAGTTCTAAGGGGCTACTCCCATTTGCTTAGGGTGACTCTTGGTGGTGCTCAGGGAACAGATGATACAATGGAGCAATTCAGATCTCCCACACATGCAAAGCATGTGCAGTATCCCTTAGAGCTATCTCAGACCCAATGCAAGCTCTTGAGCAAGCTTGGCATGACTGTTCTCAAACAACACAAAAGGAAGTACTGTAAATTATTATATGTTGATTATAACTTTGCTCATAGCTTTTTTTTGTTTTATGTTTTGGGTCACACCAGATGGTGCTCAGATTCTTTCCCCACTGTATGATCTCTCCAGTCCCACTGATGTATTTTTAAAACAGTTAATGGACAGAGAAATTGTATGGCAGGTAAGACTCTTTAAGTTCAATCCCCAGCTCTTTAATTGGGTCCCCCAGACCCCATGGGGTATGGGAAATAGTTATGTGTTATACATGAGCAGAAATAAGCTCTGAACATCACCGGGTGATTTTGGCCCCAAACAAAACAAAATCAGAATTAATGTTGTATAATTTACATACAGCAATACTGACCCCTTTTAATCTGTGGTACTGTTTTCACAAATGTATACGATCATGTAATTGGCATCAGAATCAAGACAAATCTCATTTTTTTTACTTATTCCCTTTCCCCGTTTCCAGTTCCTTGCAATGGCTGATCTGATCTGTGTCCTGTCTGTAGTTTTGCTATTTCCACAATAAATTTGTATGTATTCCTTATGTATACATTGCTTTTTCTGTATGATCCCTTTCATTTCATGATATAGTTAATGATAATCTGATATAAAATACAAACCAAACTATGAAAAGAGGGGGGCAGAGAGATAGTATAGTGGGGATGGTGTTTACTTTGCACATGGCTGACCCAGATTCCATCCGGACACCCTGAACTATACCAGTAGTCATTCCTGAATGCAGATCCAGGAGTAAGCTCTGAGTACCACTGGGGGTAACTGCCCCTCCAAGAGAAAGATAAAAAGCTGCCTAATGTCATTAGTAATCTGGAAAATGTAAAAGACATGGGGGGCCAGAGAAATCCTTGTACTAGGGATTAAAGTGTTTTCCTTGCCTCACATCAACCCTGGTTTGAATATCTGGCACCACATATCGTGCCCTGAGCACTGCTAGGCGTTACTCTTGAGCAAAGAGTCAGAAATAGCCCCTGAGAAAAGATATGCTCCCAAATCACCCTCCCCCTGGAGAACCATGATGAGATACCACCACACATTTTAGTGACAAAAAATATTTTTAAAGCTTATGGGCAAGGTTATTGAAATTCTTGCATTGCTTGTAGAAATGTGTAGTGGTTTACCTACTCTGGACTGAAGACAAGTACTTATAATAATAATGATACATACCAATACTCTGTCGCCCATCATCCAACTCTAGGTATTTGAAATGAAATGAAAATGTGCTGAATGTTCATA